TTACTACCTGAATCTCTAGAATAGTTGTCACATCATTCTTATAACGTGTACTGGGTGCTGATTCGATGAGAAAGACTAATCAGTCTAGTAGATTCTCTACCCCTAAATTTATGGTAACAAATTCAGTTAAATTCCAATGATTTGATTCCAAATTTGAAAGTATTAGTTTGATATGTTTACTTGACCTCAGTCAGTGATTTTTTTAAGCAAATCAAGTCTATTTATGAGTTCGTTTATAGTCTTGAATGCCATCAGAATTCCAGTCATAACAAGGATTCAATTTGGAGGTTTATGTGATTTATTTGTTTTCAAGGTGGTGTTCATCATGATATCAGCTGGAGAACTATTGAAGACCTGAGAACACTATATGGCTGTTTCATCCTAGTGCAGGACTCCTTACTAATGTGTATCCATGTCCTTGACATGGGTGGATCCCAGGAACTCTGTGTTTCGTGTACAGCCCGTTACCTTTAAGTCAATTCGTGATACAGAGCAATCTTCATCAAATGCCATCATTCAGCACTTCTTCTCATGTCCAACTTGGTCTACCTCACTGGTCACGATGTCTCTTTAAAACTTCAAATTTCATGTCGAGGAATGTCACTAACGAGCCCTAAACATGATGAAACATTTTCGTGATGCTCCCAGTTTCTCAATTGTTCTTCATATGATGTCAGTCCTTTCCTGGGACTGAGGAACTCTACCATCATTGAACGACTTATAATCGTCCTCTAAAGTAAGCATCACATCAATAAGTTCTTTGATTTAAGAATTAAATAAAAGAAGAAAAAGTGGTATTTTAGCTAATTAACTGAATTCGCATTTTCATGTGACTTATAACATTGTAGAGCTCACTAAATTCCAAATGACCAACTGAACCATTTAACCTAGAAAAGCGCGTGCTACAGATGTAGTTTTATAGCTATCACACTTGAAGATAAAACATATGACAGTTAATGAAGGAAAAACAAGCTTATGAATATAATTGCGAAATAATACCATAAAGTTACCATTTCATAAAACTTCTTTGATGTACAAAGTGTGGATAATCCACGTTCTTCATTCTCCTTTTACCCGTTTCTTCCCAAAAGTAAGAAGTGATAACTAATAGTACATTCACGGTAAATATAACTTTAGGAATTATAATGTAATGAAACTTATGGTATAATTCCACAATAGAATTAAATGATAAGTCATAATGCATGACTGGTCTTAATATGTATGAAAAATTTCAGTTCATCATCCCCTAATTCATATCACATTTCAGTAAATAGATTCTTCTATACACACCTTCACTCTTATAATCTTGACCACACTAATATAGAGCGCTTTTAAACATCCCAATACTAATTATATCTATTGTTAACACTCACCAATAATACATGATACTCAATACATATTGAAAACAGAAGAATACTTATTGATAATTTTGGATCGCAGTTACTAGAGGGATCCAGGATGGAAGTTTCATTCTATTTAGGACACAGCACCCAAATGCCTCTCACTAATTAATTCGATTTCTAATGAGACTCGAACCCAGAATCCATCGCTTCAAATGTTAGAGCGTTGCACACTACGTTACTGAGTCATGGCAATCACTTCTTTTACGATGGGTATATTTTGATATCATGGCATATAGTTTGCCGATGTCATTGAATCGAATTGATCGTGAACTCCTGTCATATCAGCTCATGAGTGGATGTTTCAATATCGCTAAGAGCTTCAGTTTGTGTACTAGTTAAGTATTTTAGTTGAATGAAGACAATGAAGAGGAAGCTCTTGACCTAAGTTTCGTGTTTGCTGGCACCCATCAGCAAGGCGTATCTGCAACCTCGACGCAAATGATGCCCTGCCTAAGGTTCGAACGCGCGTCACCCTGTGTTGCAGTCAGCGACGCTACCACTAAGCTATTCAGGCCACGACTGACTTTCTATAGGACTGAATTAGATACATCAAGGGTAACCAACCTCATGTCGTCAAGTCCTAAGTGTTAATCGAATTCTATCGATCATTTTGTAATGGGGGTGACGCGAGTTAGGATTTCAGGTGGGACATCAGTGCCGTCGGTGTTGCAGATACACCTTGCTAACGAGTGCCAGCAAGCATGAAACCTAGGTCCAGGGCTTCCTGTTGATTGCCTCCATCCAACTACCATCTATCAAAGTGCATCGCAATGCTAAGCTGACTAGTTTGGTGGTCACATTGCAAAATGATCGATATAATTCGATCAGCAATTAGAACTAGACAATCAAAATTCGTATCAAGCAACTCCACAACTGTGAAACACGGTTTATATAGTTCTAATTTTCTTTTCTTTGTAATGAGGGCAGTCGAATGTTTCATATATCTGAAACAGGTGCAGAATCATTTCTACTACATGTATTTGGTGTTGATTCGAAAACAAAGGTTCGGTTATCCATCTTTCCCTCCAACCAAATAAGTTTGCTTTTAATACTGTTGCTGTATCCCACCCTGTTGTGTGCACAGCTATACCCAAGCTTTTCTTTAAACTTATCCTATTAGGAACCACTAATCTTGACTTAGCTAGGCTTTTGTGCTCGGATAGCCAAATTTACCCTGCTCAACTACTTTGATCTACATATTTGACATAGCAATCGTTGCAAGGATTTTAGTAAACTAAATTATTCTGCTTAATTGGACCAATTAACCGACGAAGCTTATTTCTAAATAAGTCTGTAGGTTTCAATGAGACTCTAATCCCAGCCTTATTAAGAATTCTTCGTAATGCTTCTGAGGTGCGTTTCTTATATGATAACGCAGCAGAGGCATTGGACTTTCACTCAACTCTGTCACCATTATTAGCAGAATTACTATTAACGCCTGTGTTACCGATTCTACTGCTCATACTTTTCTTTCGATTTCTTATGAATTCAATTATAAATTTAGGTGATTAATTACTGAGATGCAGTGTATTCCTCATCTGTCTAATTTCCTGTCGTAAATTTTACTGTTTCACTAGTAAGCTTTTTCTGCTCTATTTCATAGGCGTTTAATTGAGCCTACTTTAACTTAGGTGGGATGAAATAATTTGAAGTCTTAGTAGTGATTCGAATGGGAAGGTTTCCTGTGGAGACTGATTTCTAAATTCCTACTTTGTTTCCGTTTAATCTTGCAATCGAACATTGCTAGATCCCCTTCATCACTTTCTAAGTCATAGGTAAATTGGATTGCATTTACTACAGAATTTATAGATCAAAGAGTTGATAGAGTGGTTGCAACACCGATTTCTAGTGATATCCAGTGAAACTCTTTTCCCACGTTTCTACGGTAGACCAAAAATACACAAACCAAACAGCCCACTAAGACCATCTGTTTCACTTCCAGTAACATCAGCATACAACCTTTCAAAAGAACTCTTGGGAAAACTGAAGCATCCAGTAGAACTATACGACTACTCAATCAACTTTTCCATTCATTTTTGGAAACGATCAAGCATATTCATTTTGAAAACCGACTGAAGATGTCTTATGAAGTTACAGCTCTATACACCTCGAGTGAAACGAAACTGATCAAGGATACAATGACTCTTCTCCTCACTAACGACACACCTCGCGGAACACATACAACTGTAATGTTCAAGTTTTATCAAAGTTATTGACTTTTGCCTAACAACATATTTTCATTTCAAAGGGAAACTCTACAAACAGACAAAAAAAAAACAATGGGATCACCCAATCAGGACTAGTTGGAGAACCAGTATGAAAAGATTGTGAAGTATGGTAATGCTGTTGATAAAACTGAAATTTCGGGTCCAACAGGTAGGTGATACGTTTATCATCATTAAAATAAACGAATTGGAAAATGGATTGAAATAAATCAACATTCCCAACGACATCAAATTCATAATTGAAGAGGAATCAAATCACAAACTAGCACACAAAATCACCTGCATCAAAACACTGTTCAAAAGAGCGAAGATATACTGTAGCATACATCAACCTTGCGGAGAGAAGAATAAAACCATTTAATGACTGTTTTCCAGAAAAACGACTGTCCACGCAACTTCATGAAAGATGTGAACATAATTCATCGTCAACTACGAAGTCAGCCACGTAAACTAACAAACCGATTGTCTTACACTACATGAAGAACATCTCTGAGATTATGACCAGATTATTGAAGTTCTTTAAAATCACTGTAGCCCATAAAATCTCTTAACTCTCTTTTATGCAGACCAAAAGATGCAGTAGTGAAGAGAGACAAATCAAACGTTATCTACAAAATTAACTGCAGAAACTGCAAAAAATACTACATCTGACAGAGTGGTCACCGTCTTTATATCCGTCTACATGAACATCAACTAGCAGTGTAACGTCATGAAATATCTTCGCTCATACGGATAACTGTGGACATGGATTTGACTTAAAAAATGTGGAAATCCTGAATAGAGGAAATAAAAAGAATCCAAGAGAATTTTTAGAAGCTTGGCATTCATGTCAGTCAGTGATCAACAGACATAATGACATTGACCCAATCTTCCAACCAATAAGAAGCAACGAAAAGCTGAAAGTTGATGTCAGTAGGACAGTCAATCGAATAAAATGTGGAGACAATGAGAATACTTTGGCAGAAACAACCAATCACATACAGGATCATCAGGACAAGCTACTGAGGTATTTGCGGAGAAAACCCCAAAGTTCACTTTTTTCTGAAGTTCGCGATGATGATGTTGTCTAGACTGACAATGAAAGCTTCAGTATTAAAACACCCAGCTCAGAGAACATACAAAATTATACAGGCTCTCTAGGAAGTTGTCTTACATCGATTTTATCACTTCCACCAGTATGATCACAAGCATATACACTTGTTTCAGGGACCTGGATAATGACTTTTCATACTGTTTCACTAACATTACTTTTATTATTACTTTTTTATCGCTGATCATGTCCATCGAGGAATTTCAGTAGAGACATGGATAGCTTTGGACCAAGGAAAACATTACCTCACTAAATAAAAGACTACTTAATGAAATGCATTTACATTAGTAAAAATATCAATTAGTATTTATTTCCCTTTTTAATCTAGTCATGCTCTTTAGGCATTATGACTTTCATAAGGTTTTATCGTTTCACATACATCATTTACACAGAAAGCAAAGGGAATGGAATCACGGCAACAGAAACAACAATACAATCATTGATAAGGATTGCTGATAAAAAGAACATATATAAATATTTGTTCCTTTCCATACTTTTAAATAAATAGTTATCTCCTGGTCTTATACATACCAAACAATACAAAACAGAAAAAGTACACAAACTGTGCAATTGAAAAATAAAGACTGTAAAAGATACAAGAATGAATGTTACTGCGATATAAATCGACTGATAAATGATATGGGAACGTAAAAAGAACGATGATGCAATCAAAGTGTGCGTGTGTTTGTGTGTCTCAGTGTATATTTTCACTTTTTTGTATGAGTTAGTCGTTGCATACAATATGTGGATAATATAAGCCCAAGGTCATAGATAATAAGAGTAGCGCACACGTATACGACATAAATGTTTCAAAATAAGTAGGTGTAAGAAATGCGAACAATACACAACAACTCTTTCTATCTTCATCAATATGCACACTAAGAGTAATGATGGATTTACTGAATAACACAGAAGGAACGATGAAAAACAATATAGTATTAGTAGTAGTAACAGTCATGATAATTTTCTTTTCTCCACGTTTAATATATATATACATAGAAGTAAAATGAATTCAGATTCTACAACTGTCCAGGTTTGCCACATATTAATGGAAGGCCAATTATTAAAACTAATGGACCAATATGTCCAATAAAACGCATTTGTCTACATGAAAACGAAAAGCAATAGAAAAAATTTGATGGGAAAAAAGGGGGATGAATAATTCACAGGTATTAATAACTGTGTCATCAGATTAAATGCTTTAATCCTACTTAATACGTTCTACATAATCAATGATTCATATCAGTGCACACAAAAGAGGTGTAGTCCAGTCAGTGAACAAGCAATAAATTAGCGAAAAGGCTCTTTCCGGTTATATAATCCTCATATAGAGCCTCTGGAGTTTTAAGTAAGAAAGAAGTTTGTTTAACCCCTTCACACTGCTTGAGTTTAATTGCTTATGCTTCAAATTGTTCATTTTCTCTTTTTCATACTGTTGGGGATGTTGTCTATATGCCTTATATTCCATTTGTATACTTTAAACAGTTTCTCTTCACGCTCTACTACCTACACGTGGATCGCATTTCAAATAACTCACTAATGTTTTGATTGGCTCATGCTCCTTTAAATGTGCTAATTATTCCTTGTCTTTCAGAATTATTGTAAACGCTACAAATAGGGCCTGTTTTTACCAGTAAATGTTTTCAGTTCGACGTGCTATAAATCCAGCTGATTACCAATCTTCTGATTTCCCTCTGCGAATTACTCAGACTCAATAGTCGCAACCCTCAGCTTGCAATCGTTAATTATTATCGTTCATTCTTTCAACTCCGAATTGTAACACTTATCCCATTCAGTTCTTACGCAGTATAAACTTTTGTGTTTTCCCATGTTCCTTTAGTAACGACTCATTCTTTAAGTATTCGGATATGCGACATAACTGATAGATCAAACTTTATCAGTTTTTTCCGATTTCTAAACGTTGACCGATATTCATAAATTTTGTAATTTTCGACTGAAGACTATATAATTTAAACAAAAAAATAGTTGTATAAATATAAAAAGCATTGAACACTGTTAGCAAAAAGAAATTTAAAGTGACTGCCACTTTTCAATTTCCACAATAAAAACGCCGATGAGGCATTTAACGGAGTTGCACGTTATTTTCACGTCTGAATGGGAATTTTTCGTATATCTTGGATTGAATCGAGGTCCATGTAGTAAGCAATGACGCAAGTCTATTTTACTACTACTGCTAATTCGCTGCGCAAAGCTTGGCAAGTGAAGTAGGATAAACCGACGGGCTACAGCTCTACATATAATGGATAAACCTATCTATTATCATTTAGTTACTTATTTTTCATTAATTTCTACAAGTTACATATGAAAGTTAGCTTCTCGATTTACCGGAACTGATAGAAAAAAACTAAGAAATGACAAGTGATTACCACCTAGATTAATTCACGCATCAAAATGAAATCACATGATTACGGCGTATAGAATAATTTCGACGGAATGCAACAAGAAGTTTATAACTAGCTGTAACGATTACATAATGTAAAATAGAGTAACTAAATTATGCATCTTTCCTTGGCATGAGTAATATATCAGGTTAAATGACTGAATCTATTAAAACATCTTGGAAGGTTATGCTCTATGCTGTTTTTTTCAGGTAACATGAGCTAATAAACTAATAAACAAAAATAGTCCTACTAACTAACTACTTCTAATAGTTTCTTTTTATATGTTGAGTAATTAGTATGGTTAATTTCAGAGGACATTACAAAAAGTGGTCGAAATTATACAGAATGCCATTCATGCATGACTGATATAACATACATAATGAAAATTATTCACTTCTCTATAGTGAGAAATCAAATACAATTAGGTGGTTTTCAGATCTGAGTTTTTCAAAGAGAATGAATAAGGTTGAACGATAAGTTCAATCATAGCTACTAGATTAGGATTGTAAAGTTTTTTTTAGACCGAGCTATGCAGTTTTCTATATATGGTAATCCAAAATCGTCAACAATTGACCACCTTCAAATCTTAACTCAATCACTGAATACATCACAACTTGCTGTCGTGTTAATAGAAGACTGACATATAGTTACAATGAACTCTGCTTTGAGGCGTCTTCATTTGAATCTGAAATGACCAGTATTGAACAATGGTAAGGACAGCTAATTTATCACTGTGATGAGTTAAGGTGGTCTAATGAATGTATAGTTATAGCACAGACAACCAACTTTTGACCTAACAGGGTTAAGGATTCTGCACCTTGTATTCAGCTAGATTTACACAGCAATGCGGTATACCTAACCCTTAAATACCAGGAGCAGTTTGAATATTTCCAGTATTTACTTGTTGAAACAGATATTCGTTGCAACAACCAAGGAGAGCTCGGATAAGTTAATAATTAAAGTAAAAATCTACATTAATAAACACATACTGATCCAGTAAATCGATAAACTGACCTCCAGAAATGCAACACCTTGTCGGTAGTTAGTAGGAGAAATGGAACACCCAAATAATTTAAGCATAACATAGCACCCAAGTTAGTAATCACATCATAAAGACAACGTAATCCAGATGAATGGAGAAAATAAGGTCTAAGATGTTTCCGACATACTCTATAATAGTGCAAAAAAAGGAACGAAAAACATTTATTACACTGCAGATTAATGAAGATATTTTTAGATCGTAAATAAGTTTTACAGTCTACTCGGTGACTAGCAGTAGAAACTAGAATGCACGTTCCATCCTTATTTGGTACTCGTCAGCTGAGTGTACCTGCACCTCAGTGAGTGATATAGTTCCCAGTGGGACTTGGAGCTAGCAGCCATAGCTCAAAACGCCAAAGCGTTAACCACTAGGCTATTGAGGCACGAAAGTCACCTTTTTTGCAACGGATATTAGTTGCTGTTTAGTGGCACTTTTTAATTTTCTGTTAGTATACTATTGGCAAAATAACCGAAGGTAATAACCAACAACATAAAAACTAAAAAATATGGCACATACTTATATACTTCACAGTTAAAATTGTATAAAGACGTTAATGTGAAGTTTTTAAGTACCCCTGACTAGAGGTTTGAAGTATACTGGTACACTCACTTAGAGTTTGGTGGAGATAACACAGTGGGAAGTTATCAGAATAGCCTAGATGCATGATTCTTCTTCGAAATGACATATTTTATTCACATATACCTTCAATATACGTCAGACATAACGTTTGCATATTGTTCTATATGGGTTTAGGACCACCAACCAATGGAAATATCAGAACCTAAAATAATCACCACTAACTTTCACTTTTACTTATTTTGTCTTGTACAACTTTTGATTACTATTTGCTCAAGTGATCCAAAATTGTTTATATCGCCCTTAACACTATTCTGTCTCCATTGACCTTGTTTATACCTTGAGTAGGCTATTTATATTATCTGTTTCAGGGACTGATTCAAACAAATTTCAGAAGTATGGAAAAGTGTAATACTAATAAGATCAATGAATGACAAAATAGTAAGACTATGAAAATAAAGCTAGAACGTTTGTTGATTATCTTGCTAAACTTATCATCTAGTACCAGCGTCAAAATCTATATTATAACACTTGCTTACTGAGGGTTATGGTAGATGCAAATGAGTGTTTTACCGAAAGTTTGTTTTCTCTAGTCGACAGTTGCCAATCATACATCATATTTCTTTTATTATGCTAACTAGCAATGCGTGTTGAGAAGAGGTTATCAATCTTTTGATATCAAGCAACAATCATTCGGTAAAACAACAGCTAGTAAAAATTCGGTCATATTTAACTCTGCAACGATGTGCAGAATCATATCGACGATACTATCTGACAATGCAAACTATAGTAGACAAAGCGGGTCTCGACTATATGATTCACTGGTTGGAAATCAACAGCCTAGACCGAATAAGCACAGCTTCTCAAAATATAACTAATATACCCACTACAACTTTGTGTACTAGGCTGTGAGCTACATTTAATGTACAACGGGCTTATGAAACTGCCTGGTTATCCAGACTGAATGAAATTTGAAACCAGAAACCACCATTTGAAAGTCGAGTGCTTAAGCCAATAACAAAGGCTTCATACTTAAAACAGGTAACACTACTTCATCTTTAAGACCTGAATATTTACAATGGATTTGAAACCACAACCTTATAGTTCAATGCTAAACGTGGAAATTGCAAGTCCATTAATCTAGATACATCTACAGATTGGATTATCGTTCGTCTGAGATTTAAAAACAGTACAATTTCAATACTAAGTGAAAGATAATAGCAATAAGTTATTTGTACTATAACTAATTCTCAAAAGGGATGAGTGAAATGTACTATCCACCGTTTGAGAAGTATTTTTCACCCAATATATACTACTTTTAGGGGACAGAGTTCACTGGTAACCTTCCATATTATCATAGAGCCTAATGAAACATACTTGGAGTCAATTACCAGCTTTACTATCAGAAAAATTTAAAATGCAACATGCAAAAGGCTGTTATCACCTGTAACTGACAATGAGATATAACATTCTGGCTGCAACTATTGACATTCAGGGAGTAACTGTCCTTGGAATCTCTATTTAAATATGTATAACTGTATACCTTTCTATAAAGACATTTAGGAGTCAATCTTACTTCATTCAGATGTGAACGAAGTACTCCAACTGAAAAGCGAGGCAGTACTGTCGCCTATGTTTATTGTTGAAAACCGACAGTATAGGTAAGCACGGTCGGCTAATTTCGCCATTCCTCTTTAACAATGCTATCAACGACATTCTAGAGACAACTCTGGGGGAAATGTGTGATGGGTGTGTAGACCTGTTACCGAGTGAAAGACTTTACCACCATAAGTATACAGACCATACTGTTTAACTGAACAACAATATACAGGCTACTCAAATAGCACTCAATTAGTTAGCAATCAAAGTCTGCAGGTGTAGTTATGTGTTGCAATCTTATTGATACAAAAAAACAATATATGTTACCAATCTGTAATGCAGATTCAAATACAAAATGTAGCCCGAAATATGACTGAATGTCACCATGATAAACAGTTTCATCGATATTTAAAAATTTATTCTGAAATACGTTTTCATCGCGGATTGACGCAAGTTGAAGAACTACTGAAACCAGCTATTACATTTTATTTTAGGAATCCTCAACAGTACGCAATCACAATCACACAAAGGATCGGACCAAGAATTGTCAGATTTCCCAGTGCAAGTGTTACCTAGCATTTAGCCACTTCCACATAAATCAAGAATTGAATACATCCATTTTTTCAGTAAAAAATTCAAAGAATTTTTTCAACACTACGAAGGAAATTTACAAGAATCCTGATCAAAATTTAAGAGGGAAATTTCACAAATATTGGGCACCGAGTGAAACCTTGATATTAGACATAAGTTATGTTTGTAAAAATTTGAGCTCAGGGAATACAAATAGTGAATTCACAATATCATTAGCCAAACGCTCTGAACCAACCGTAGTGAAATGAGATGATGTAGAGGTTGGTCAATTTAAATTTTTTGTGTGTGTGTTTATATGAGTGAGAGAATAAAGAGAAGTTATTTTTGTGAGATGATATAGGGAAAATCTAACTATGCTTAACTCTTCAGTTAACTCATTCATTCAAAGACTTTTCAATTTTACAGAATTCAGAATATGTTCAAAGAGTTCTCTGTTAATCTGCATATCTGTATACAATAGAATGTCAAGCTGTAGTACCATACAGTAAGCATGTGTAATTTTATGCAGTATGCTGTGAACCACATCCGTTATGCAAGAGTATCATCTGAGATAAACGTGAGGAAGTGGCTGTTGTCGAGTTAGGCTAAAAAGTGATTACGGGCTGATATGAAGTGGTTAAGACAGAAGTCAATATTTTAAGCCATTTATCACTGAGGCAGACATTTTTGAGCTTCCTTTTTTTTACCTATATTGGTGTGTGGTCAGGATAACCTTAGTGGGTAGACTATTGTTTTAGTGAACCAATCAGGATAATTTTAGTTTTTCTCCTAGTGTCTTTTTATGTGCATAAATGATTTCTTTTCGCTGAATGAAAATTGCTCTCGCAATCACCAGTCAGCCTTCATCTTCTGATATCTTCACGGCTTAGTGAAGTATTAGAGGAAACAGTCGTTGTCCACATATAGTTCACACGTTCAATATCGTTACTTATTGAATAATGTAAGCGAACTCACCTGGTCACTTCAGTGGCGAACGGAAAGATGGACACAGGAGGAACCAACGTGGAACGTGGACGAAATCATTATATCCACCCATACAGTAAGTGACTGTTGACCTGAACTGTGTTGGAGACACTAGGCTACCTTTGGCTGGGGGGAGTACTACAGATATTATAGTGGGAAACACAGCTCAAAGTTAATTGAAAAATGCAAATTTATTCGCGATTGACTGACTTGAAAACCCTGAGTATCGACTAATGATTTAGTACTCATTAGTGACTTGCTTTAAAATGGATTTCACAAGGTTCCAATGAGAAACCACGAGCTGTGGGGTCAACCGACTATTATAATGAAGATGAATGATCACTGATGACATTAGATAATACTTACACTCTATAGTTGGATCATTTGACTTCAACCCAATAACTGAAAGATTCAATCCACGCCTTTATACCTCCATCCCTCAGTCAGTCATGGATGAGCACTGCTGAAAAGTTGTAAGCTAGGAGGGAACAACTATCTAATGCTCTAAGGTTTTCGACGGTTTTATAAATTATATCAATTGATGGCAGACACTACCTTGAGAACTTGTTTCCCTTTTATTTATTTGCTCTTCTTGTACTCATATTTTTCATTTTGTACAATGTGATATCTTTTGATTTCGGTTAGTCCTACACACAAGTAATATATCAGTCGAAGTTGAAGAGGTACGCCTTGTAACATCTCTTCAAACTGTATTTAGTAGCTTTCATATGTACTTGCCAAAGAAAAAAAATATTGTAACGATATCAGAATGTCTGTCTGTTTATTTTGTTAAACATACCTCTGAAAAGTCTGAAGTTATATGGTTTGCGTGCCATTTATTGGCAGTAAAACACAACATAAATATGCATCATCTCATTCAAATCGATAAGGAACTTTATTCAGTTTTACTCCACAGCTGTTCAAAGCTTTATACCTCACTTGGCATTACTCTGATAACTAGTGCTTTTAACCTAATGCAGCTTCTCTTGCTTTTTTTTCCATAAATATATTTGTAACGAATATTTATAGTGAATTGATTGTCTCCAGAATCCAGATATTTTTGACAGAAATAATTCTCTTATCTTGTGTATCTTTTTTTGTTTTTCTCATCTTACGTGATAGATTATTTTGATCACTTTATTGTTGTGTTATAAATTTGTTGTTATTTTAAAACACCTCATTCAAACTCTAAAATGTTTTCATCAAAGGCTTATAAAACAATACCATCTACAATATCAATATTTTAAACTTTATTTGGCTTGGTACATCTAACTTTGACATTGTACACAATGAACTGTTGCAAAACAAACTGAAATTGGAAGAAAACATAAATAGAGGGAGAAGTTAAACCAATCCCCTTTAAGTTATATGTTTAATGATCTAATGATTGAGCTAGGGCAACCAATTACAAACTATGTGTGAATGCTTATTTTCATCACCGAAAATTCGCACCCAACGCGCCAATGACTTCAGGTCATATTAATTCTATATTAACTTTACGTTATCTGTAGTTGAAAAGTTATCAAACAAAATGATCTTGAACAACTGATAATAATTAATAAGTACCAAACGATTGTTCCGCCCTATTTTAAAACTTTTTCCAAAGTCTAAACCCAAACATTAAAGTTACAATCTTTCCTACTAATATATATTTTCAAATCCAATCCCGATAATAGCGAAACACTAAACAACTCACATATTTTAATCATACTATGAAATTTAATTATAAATATCAGAATACTATTATAAAATAATAAACAAGTTGAGTTTACGTAGCTGTGCAAATCACTGAAAATAAACAAAAATCCAACTCACCTTCCAGCTACTGTAATTAATGCTGCAGATACAAAAGCTAGATAGTAACCTGGATAAAAACCATGCCACATGGCTGACACAATAAAAACTACCCAAACAGCATAGCGTTTCGGCACACGATCGTAGATACATTCACGTAACCATCGTGTTGTAGCCGTATTCCATGAATCTAAGATGACTTTTGTACTTGTACCAAGCTTAAAATAATAAATATATGGTGTATCATATACACTGTAATTTCGGTATATTCAGTAAGTAAATTAGCAAAAAGCACTGATATAAATTACTAACAAATGGCTACAGTTTGAAAAATCTAAAACATCTCTATAAATATACATTCCAAATGTGAACGAAAAACAGAATTGAAGAAAAACGATATGTGGTGACATCGATGTTCCCATATAGTAAGACTTATATAGACACTACAAAGGTATCTAAACAAAATTACACAATAGCCTAAAGGCATGACCAAGCAGTTATGTTAATTTCATCAAATCGTATTGATTTTCTCATTGTATAATTAGAGTAACAACTAGTCATTATTTCTGAATAATGCAGGGGAGCTGCATTCACCAAGGGACGTCTTAATGTGATAACGTTTTTGTTGTTGACTACTTTAAAGGTGGTATAAAATCCCTAATAACTATGACCTCGAGAAAAGTCTTAGAGAACCATTCTCAACACGTTTTGTAAGCAGGTACATAGGATGCAAAAAAACCGATTCTATAACCTGTTTCAATGGTGTTTCACAGTCGAAGGGCTAGGACGTCTATTACCGACCTTTATGACTTTAAGTTACTCGATTTGCTGTTGAAGCCACTTTGGAATATGCTACAAGTTCCTTACTTGCATGGATCTATGAGTTTTCATCAAGCATGTTACCCCAAACATTTAAATTGGTGCATAAAGGGGGTTATGAATTTATTGTTCGCACACCGCAAGAGTTCGATTAGCCTGACCGTAACTTCATAGCATATCCTTCTAGTAGCAGCAGCAAGTCTCTCTTTAAGCCTATGACAAGTATGTGTGTTATCAGATTGTTCAAAATGTGTTACATGATTCAGACAAATTATGTATGCTTAGTGTCTTGGCGATATATATGTGTATGCGTCAGAGAAGAGATTGCTACAGAGAATTGAACGTCTATACCTATATTGAAATAAATAAACAAAAAAAGATGTTAGTAAGACGTGAGATCCCTGCGGTTTGGTGAACTGATGTTATCGATATTGGGTGTTGATTGAAGGTGAAATGAAAACCTGGGCAGGATTCAAAGCAGCAGGATGAGAAGACCTGGCTGTCCAACCAGTGTTACTGACGTTGACAGACAGTGATGTATCACAGACTCACCTGACAGTCGAGTAAAATTACTCGACAATTTAAGTGAAGCTAACAGCTGTTTAGCACCTACGTCCCATATATCAGTCAGCAGTGCAGCGGGCTGGTAACACGGAAGCCACTGGCATGAGTTCTGCCGCGACTCAGATCTTCGTTTCACCTCCATCATTGAAAAATCTGAGTTGTGTAACCCAAGATTTCGGAACCCGCCAATTTCTAGTTTCTCAATGAAGCATTCTGAATCATTTCCTAGCCCACTCTTACATCAGTTATCATTGTTCGCTAAAGCAACTTAATGACAGTTTTAATTATCCCCATTCGATGCACATTTATAACTGAATCAACTAACTTATCTATAGATGTACACTCAACACCAACAAAGATCATTCGATGATCCTAACAAACGTCAACGGTGCTTCAAAGGTTAAGATAACTGAATATTGTAATTCATTCATGTGATCCAACCGCAACAACTTTATCTTATTGATGGATTTTCAAACATCTCATTTATACTCAACGTAATTTAGATGGCAAATGCCACCAAATATATGAGATTTCATCAACGATACAACAACACAAGTGAATAGAGAAAATTGAATACTAGTTGAAACCATTTCTAACAATCAGACGGTATAAAGGATAAGTGGAATTCGAATAGTGGTTCCCATTAGATAGTGCACCCTCACAGTATTAATAATGGATAGTGGCCAGCAGCGGAATCCAGGGCGCCCATCTTCAAATGGATGTACCTGCCACTCAGTGAAAGATGTATTTCTTAACTTATTATTAGAACACAAACATAGTACAGCAAAAGGGTACCAAGAAATGCGTCATACAAAATAATATAGCGTTATTTTGAAGGCACAAAGAAAAGGAAAGTGAATAAAAAGAAAAATACAATAAGTATAGAATGATTAGAAAGGCAGTCCAGTAAGATATATTCAGAATAAAACACTTATTACTTTTCAGCAGCAGAGGATAGAGGGAAGCTACAGCATGACTACCACTGATTTCGATTCTGAGTCATTTCGGATAACTTATCAAGCCACTCAGTTGAGTGGTCTTTCGGGTCCCACCCGGAGAGTCGTGATGCACCAACATACGCTAACCCGATACAACTATCCTTCATCCTACGGCGCCATGTCACACACCGACCACCTCTCCGCTTCTTCCATCCAGTCCTAGGGTTAGGAAACAATAAACGGCGTGGAAGCCGTTGGGACGACATGCATAACACATGTCCGGGACACCAAAACTGGTGTTTCAAAATGACTCCACTTACTGATTGACGATCTCCATCATGCCCAAACAGACGCTGTCGTACCTCAGAATTAATTACGGGGTGTTGTCACCCGAGGCAACGATAGTCGAACACAAAGAGTCGTCACACATCCTCAGCTCCGAGGCCATGTATTACGGACATAAAGCAGAACTGCTTGCATGGAAGCGTCATAAACCCAACTTTTCACGATCAGACTAACGTCACGACGGCATCAAAGGTGGCCCAGATTGGTGTACGCCACTGTGGCTTTTGATATACGGTTAGAAATTTTATCACACATCTCCAGCAGCACTCACACAACTACCTAGATACACGAACTTTTAGACTACTTCCAGTGGCTCCCCACCCCTGGTTAACCCATGCACGGGCTACTTCCAATTTTGAAAAAGTACTTTGCACTTCGATGGTACGAAGCACATACTATACTTACGGGTACTAATCGCCAAATGACTTGAGTAACCTATGTGTTATCGCACAGTAAGACAATACCGTCCGCATATTCGAGGTGGAATAGCCGTTCTCCAGGTAGTGGATCTACACCACCAGCACACATCCTTTAGAGCTGTCTCAAGAATATCATCAATGGCAAAGTTAAAGATGAATGGAGAAACCGAGCAACCCTGCGCAGGAGACCATACGCCAATAAACCGGTCAGTTTGGTTCTATCAATGACTGGATAATACAAACAACATCATATATCTTCATAATGCTTTAATTTGAGGGGAGCTTTAAGGTGATAATCAATAAATTAAGTTCTCAGGAACCAAAGTAAGTTAGTCAATAATATTGTACATCTGTAGCGACTGGAATAGCTGAGATATGTATTAAACATTCAGTCACCATCTCATTTGACATGTACTAACCAGATTGAGTATAGATTGGAGAAACGTTATGGACTATTAGATTAAAAACATGACTCCAATCTGTGAAATCGAAGACCATTCGGCACTTCGATCGAAATCGTAGGGGTTTTGTCTATCAATAGTTATAAACACTTGATGATATCTCGAAAGCGATCACAATGGCGGACATGTGTTCATTTGTTATCAGTTTTAAAACTATGAACCCTATTAACCTTGACTTAATTATTCACTTCCTATGTGTTTCTGTAGTGTAGGGCAACTTGGAGTGATGAACTTTTATGTGGGGCTTTTCATTGTTCTGTCTACCTATCTTCGACTCCCATCAACTGGTAAGAAACCGCCTCAAATCCTGACTAATATCAGAAAAGAAGCAACTATGTCTATTAGCACTATACCAGAAGTTAATGAACAGCTTCCTACACTAACTGATATTTTTGGTATGATAAAACTCGGAGGTCGGTTGTATTGGTTTTCATATGAAATATGAACTATCTCATTTGGCTTTTCTGACTAGCAGGAAAGTATCTTGTTTCTCCTTTCTATATCTCCACTTTAATCAAGTGAAAAAACAAGACTAATTAAAGTTTCCACCTTTAATTTAATCGTTAGTAAAATTTTTCACTTATTCGGAAACGGTACCAAATTATTCCTATGGCATGTGTTAAGTTTCGATTTAGTAAACAAAGCTTCAGCTACCATTCTGTCTGTCCACCCAAACCAGTGATTATCTTGATATGATTCTCAGCAATAGACTGTGTTGGCAACTCCACTTAGTAAATAATAATGCTTCACTATGCAATACATATAATAAGAGGCCTGAGATGGAAGCACATGCCCCAGTTGAGAAATTCTGATGAATAAATCCAGATTATGCAATTAAACTTTCTATAACTTCTGCATTCAATTAAAATTTTTAGACAACACGAATGGATAAGTAGACTATATTTATGTAGGTAAAAGAACAATATTGTTCTTTTTACTGTTTTTGAAAATCAGTCCTTTCTGTAGTTATAGTTACATTTTAGTGTTTGAGATCTATAAAAATTTCAGTTTAGGCATATTTATCCTGGTATTCACTCTCTTGTTGCATTTTTTTATTATTACCATCATATTAAGGCATATCATCTATTTCATGTTTTAATACACTAAATGAGTTATTGGCTGCTATTCTTAATGATCGTGCAAACCTGCATAAGCATTCTATCATAACATAAAGGACTTTCAAGGAGAAATTTTATTATTGTGTCGCCTTATTCGTTGTTGAAGCAGTGGGTAGTATGAAAAATAAAATACTACCCCTTTATTTATTGATACTTGTAATTTCCCGTTGTTATATATATATATATATACTTACTTCAATAGGCAGGAAGTAGATGTTAGTAGCGAAACGATATTCAGGTTCACCTTTACTATCGAATCCAGAAAATCCAAAACCAGCAATCAGATTTGATAAACAGCCTAAAAAGTGAAAAAACATGAAGCGAATACCATAAGTGAATGTGTTACCTTAGAAGAAAGGTATTCACTGTGTTGCAAAAAAAGCAGTTTTCGAGCCATCAATACAGCTTCTAAGAATAAATCATCCATGAACTAAGAATTTAACAGGGAGAGAGCGGGATGCCAATGATCTTCGAGAAACTCGCCCACAGATAACGATTTGAAAGAAGTTCCTTGTAGGTAACCTATGAATCACAGCTACCCTCTAATATGTTTTATTGAGAAGCATGCGTTAAGACGAGTGACTAATTAAATGCGAACTTATCAATTCACCTATTCCTATAGGTCGTTCATCGACACCTATCCTTAGACGTATTCATGAACATCTCCCAGTATGACACATCAAAGGGAGAAATGTAGGTCAATGACACCTATTTTACCTCAGGTTCTTTAACAGATTTAACCAAACATCCCTGAAAGCCTACACCTACAATAGCAATCAACTTTACCGTTTTCCTACTTCAAACTAAAAACAACCACGGATAACATCACTAGCAGGATCATAACTGAGGAGATAGAATCATTATTGGTAAATACAACTGCAAAAGATCCTGTGTGAAACACTAAGGGGGAAGGATATACGTGCAATCATCAAACAAATAGTGCCCTAGACACACGTTAAAGTGAAAAAAAAACCAATACTTGCAGCATACTCTTCCGCACAAAACATTTATTTCATAGTCCAAATTTGTAACATCTTAGCTGTCTAACAGTCAAGTTAATTACCTTTTAAGAATTAATTTTCAATTCAAGTAGTAAGTTATTAGCTTACGTGCTAAAATTGAAACATGTCAGTGATACGTTGGGAACCTTCTCCATCTACTCAAACCTGAACAGCCTGATAATAAACGTACTTATTAAGTAACAAGTATGATTCATCATCTTGCTCATGAAAATGCGCGTGATTGTAGTATACACCTTTAAATATACTAAATATCTCTTATATCCAATTTACTATTATCTGATCAATTTTACACAAGATATCTTCGATAATACAACCGAAATATGAACAAATTTGTATGCTATATGATACGGTACATCACAGATTCATATCTCTCTGCCCTAAATTTGTAATTCATTACAGAATGCCAAAAATATATACATTTCATGAGTCAAGAGTAAATTCATACAGCAGATTAGAAGACATTCATTTTATAAGGGGAACTGATTTATTCGTAGAACAACTGATAAGTTAATAGCATTGGGTTTAATTTTAAAAATACCTTGGAGCAATCAAACGCCAGTAACAAAAACACAAGTTATACTGTAAGAAACGACAAAGACTGAGACGCCGGACAAAGTGTTTATTATGACATCTTGTACAGTAGTGATGACATATTGAACACTTTCCATTAAAATAGTCATTTGCACAATATGTTTCATTTCCTCTACTGCTTCTATCTAGACTTGCTTTAGTACGCTTACATTGTCTCTTGGGTTTCTCTGGGCGGAATACTTACTCATCACTGGTAATTGCCTACGATTTCTGCCAACCTCTCAAAGTATACTACTTATATCCATCCATCCTTATCCATAGCACTCACTACAATACTACAATGAAAGTCAGTACTTTGGGATTTCTAGATCAATTAACTATCATTACATGAAATTCTCATACTAAATTAGTTTTAACATCAAAAAGTTAAACAAAGTACTTACTAATAGTCCATGCGAAATAGAATCTCTGACGAAAACCGAAACATGCGATTGATAAGTAAACATATTTTTGAAGATAATTTTTTTTTGCAAAATCATCCGCTGAAAATTAAAAAGATAAGAAAGTAATCATAATGAACACTATAAAATCGAAACAAAATGTTTTTAGGTATCAAACAATCAATAACTCCTGCAAAATAAGTCTACTGTTCAGTTTATCTTGATAAATAAGAAATTAAAATGATGCAACAAAATTATCTTGATTGATTAGGTAAATTATACAATGAAAGTTTCATTTAATTAAGTATTAGTATGACATAGGCGAAAACATCACTAAAAAACATTACATATAGGTCCCACACTTTGCAGCAATACAGCGAAAATAGAGAAAAGTGGATCTAAAAGAAGTCCTTCAAACTGGCTACCATGATGATTCATGAGACTTGTTGCGTTTGAATTCACTAATGTAATTCCTTGATTCGTCGACTTCCAATCAGTGAGCCATCAGTTCGAATCCCGCCACCACCTACCAAGATGTAGGCAGTCAACTAAATGCATGGACTCACATGTGGTTGCTGAGTGATTTTTTAATTTCATTTTCCCTATAGACTATGAGACACACTTCGTTGTCCACACACAAGTAGAAGCAGTAGAATTTAAAATCAATTGTTTGAAATTTGAGTACTTAAAATAATTTAGTCACATCTCATCTTTTGGTCAAATATGAACCAAATTGAATTAATCCATGGAATAAATAGACAAAATCAACATAGAACTTGGCACACAACTGGATTTGTTCAAGTTGTCATACTTCCCGACAGCGTGAAAAGAAAACAAGGGATAGAAAAAGACTGATATGTAAGTAGGCAAAGGTGTATGGAAGAAGGGATTTAAAAATTAAGTCAGTCAGTCAAAGCATTCAAGTTTTAGAAGATACCAAAGAGTGAATACATCTGTATCACTGTAACTGATTCTCAGCCAATCTATTGTATTGCATAAAAGTGATTTATTATTTATATTTGTAATTTACATAAGTACAAACTCCAAATGTTTGTGAAATTTTAAATAATAAATGCTCTTTTTCTCTTTGAATATAACTTTTTTTCTCCCAATTAATTTACGTAAATTCAATTTACAGATGTCTAAAATATACATCATCATCATCATCATTATCAACATAGGACCAGGCATTACTGCGTAACGGTCCGAGTTGCCACACCTCATATCAGCACATCAAGTAAAAAGGTAGTGAGGTGAAGGATGAAGATAAGTGAATGCAGTCAAAAGAAATATAAAGTATGAGAAGAAAGGAAAGAGGAGTGACAAAATAGTGAGATTCGGTATAGCGTTGTTAAGATGAGGATAATGTGTGTATACATCTGCGCCACTGACTTCGGTTCTGAGCCATATCACCTAGGGTCTCCAACCACTGGTTCCTCTTGTCCCGTGGACCCCAACCACCTAGTCTGCATCGTCCTACATGGCTTAAACCAACAGTCAGAGACTTCATACATTGGTGCCATGTTTTAGTCTGTGTAGCGTTAATAATAACAGTATTAAAGGCATACGTGTAAAACAGGCAGCTAGTGTTACACTAGCATATGTTCTCGATTCAGAAATTAACACAAAATCGATATAAGTATCCTAGGTATAGTAATGTGGTGTATTTTTGAGCATTAGCAAATCTATTTCCAACCAACGGAACATTTTTCTTTCGTTTTGTTCTTAGCTTGAGAAACGAAAGTTCGGAAATACTAAAAAATATGCGAGAGTACACGATGCGTTCAGAAAACATCTGAAAGATTAAAACAGATTAAAAGGGAAGAATTTGATGAAGTATACTCGGTGAAAAGTTTTTTTTGGTAGCTTAAGATTTAAGCAGCCCGCCTATATCAGCATAAACACATAAACCAGATATTTTTCAAGATATAACCGATGGTTAGACAGGAATTTACTTTCTGATGATAATCACCAGCATTTTCATGTCTCTAATTAAAGTAAACCCTACAAACTAATATGGACTGAAAATGAGTAAGCTATACTGATAGTAAGCAAACAGTAGGCCTTCTAAATTCTATGAGCAAAATTAAATCACTAACTATCTAAGAAGAGAAAAGAAGACAAACGTCACTACCACCACAGGACATGGTATCACATCTTACGATTTGAAGCCTGGTGATTTCGTCAAGAAACATTTTTAGCGATACATATACACTAAGACTTTATCTTAGTCATACTACCAAATTTTACTGATTTACTTAGTACTGTGGTTTCCTATCATGGATTCCACACGATTTTCCACATTCGTTCGCTTATCAAATTTTAAAAGTGTAGGAATAACAAAATAGTCAAAGGGAAGTAATATTATTTTATTCCACCACTTGAAATTAGTGAAACACAGAGTGAAATTACAAAGTTTATGGAATGAAATACCATGACACTTTAACTGAATAGAACGGATCAATTGTTCGATGCCCAGAGGGTCTAAATTGACTATCATCTTGTCAACTATTCACTGTACACAATCACCATCTCACAACATCAATCAACAGTAAGCAGTTATAAAATTACATCTTATCCTTCACAAAACTCCAACTTCATATAACGTCTCCTCATACCTAGACAATGTTTCTCCACCGATGTCGGTCCACCACGGAAACCGACTTCAAATCAATCAATACCCACAAACCATCAACTCAAAATTCAACATCCTCATGATTTCAATTGTATTTTAAACTAGGTTTGTACTCCGAAGTCATCAGAATACACTAGGGAATGAGTCAACTCACTAGTATCAAATATCTTGCTACAATAAAGGGAGTTAGGTATATGTGATAAACTAATGAGAACAACACCGTTTTAATTGGTCTGAGATGATCTAATAGGATTTTGGTTCACAACAAATCACGAAATACGCTCACATGAGAGTGGTGAGGCAAATACATCTGTCTAGGGAAACGTATGAATTTTGTGAATATTTTTGAGTGTGAAATATGACCTATTGTCTGCTACTACTTGTTTCACGATAACTTTTTTAATCGGAATCACCAAAAACCTGGAGGTGTAAACTAATGCAATCAGCATGCTATAAAGCAGAAAAAGTTGAGTAATTTAGTTTTAGTCCACCGCCAACTAGTATGTTTTGACAGAAAACGATACAGTTCTAAAGATCAAAGAAATGCCAGAAAATGAACAAATAAAGAAGTTACCGAATAGGAGCGAATTAGTGATCGTATAGAGCTGAAGTTAAAACTATACGTTGAAATCAGAAAACGAACAGAAAACAAAGGTTAGATGTTTGCTGATATTGCATTAATATACGCCTGAACACTCTTTTGTAGTAAAAGTGTGCTGTAATTTTGCACTTTATAACGGTTATAATTTCAGGCTGCTTGCCGTTGATGAGAAGCTGTGACATAAAAGAATATCACTTCATTCTACAAATCTAGTGGCTTTTTCTTAGTGTGACTGACTTTCATTTGCTAGTATGATAGCGCTGCTGTGAGGTGCAGTAACTTGAACCATCTAGCAGTAACTCCAGGTCTTATATTGATAACTGAGTTGGTATTATGAACTAACAGTCCAACTTCCCATTTTCACATATGCCCATTAAGCTAACAGAAGGAATGGCAAGAAGACCAAAATGACAACGACAGTCATCAAAAGTCAGTGGATTTAGAAAACAATGAGACGAAGGGAATAAAGGAAGACGAAATTATAGTTCTTATGAGTGAAAGGGATTATTGCATCCGAATATTCATCATCTATGTCTGACCATAACACCGGGAGTCTCCAACTATCGGTTTTCATTGCTTTGCAAATCCTAACAATTCTTTTCCTATACGGTTCTATTCAGTACCCAATGAAATCATGGATCATTGCCATTTCTGCATCTGGTCATCACTGGCTCTTTCCCAACTTAGTCTTGTTAACAATGAACTTTGAAGTAAATAAAGAATGCGAATGAAGCGCACTCAGTTATCTTGTGCACATCCACGCAGTAGGTAATAAAACACATCTATTGTGTGAGGGCTAGCGATACTACTTGGCCTGCTCAAACTTTGATAGGAGGAGCAGGGTTCTAACTCGTGACCAAAAGGTTGGTAAATCACCAGGACATTCATAGTACATGCCTCGGTGAACTCGTTTGATTAAAGTTGGATTAATAGAGGGTTCTCATTTCCTGATAAGAAACTTTAAAGGCTGATAACCGAACCATTTATGTACATATCAAAAAAGAAATTGTTGAAATTTTGTTTTGTCTACATTGACTAAGTAATGAAAATACAGTAAAATGAAGACGTAAGTCTGACATTGATACGATAACCTGGTAAGCTACCATATGAGTTCACAAGTTCTTCCTTCACATACGTGAAATGAAAATGAGACTTCGTAGGTGGTTAGGTCTTGTAGCTTATCCAGAAGAGCTACAAACCAACAGTCTTTCGAATTTTTTAACTAGTGAACAAATAAATGTATAAGGACCGAATATGACGTGAATAAAAAAAAATCTGTTAACTTACACAAAAAGTACTCCGGTTTAAAACTTGTCAATGCCCATATCGTTAATATGGTGTGAAGTAGTAGAAGTTTCACCTGTTTCCACTTTTCAGCCTATATGATTAAAATAAAGTGATTTTTTCATAATCCTTGCAAGATGCAAATTTTAACGCACTGAAATAACTTAAGTACTTCAGTTAATTATTGAATTCACAACTTATGTACTAGAATTTGCGATGAAACATGTTCAGTGGACGAGCTGCTAAGACCTTTCATTGATTGTCACCTGTACATTGAATTCACCGTAGAGGAAGAGTTAAATTCAACGCTCCACTTTCTAGACGTAATGTTAAAGAGAAGGGATGATGGCTCGATTTAAAGATCAGCCTATCGAAAACCAACCTGGACCGGCCAGTTCACTAAATTTAATAGTTAGGTACCTCTTAGTTGTAAAAGAAATCTCACTCAGTCTCTGAGTTCCAGAATCTATAAAATATGTTCACAAAACACGGTGGATGTTGAAATCGAAACTCTTAGAATAATGCTATTTAATAACTGATACCCTAAAAGACTTATTGATAAGAATCTGAACAAACGAACCACTCCCCATCCCACTACAATCTCTAAGAAAATATTAACCATGAGTCTGGAATTCGAAGGAGACACAACAGCCGAAGTGCTGAAAAACCGTCTGTCAGAGTGTATTAATAGTAGCTTTTATGCTGCTACACTGAGATTGGCTTTCTCCAACAGCCGTCAGATTCGACAATGCGTGAAGGATAGGCTATCCACTTATGTCCACATCTATGTGTATCTACAAATTCTCATGGTCTTACGGGAATGACTATAGTGAGTGAAATGAGATATCTAACCCCCGTATTATCATTCTTACGCTAATAGGCAAAATACTACACTCCACTGAAATTATAGCAGTTCCCTTATCACACATCATCCATTATGAAAAAATTAATGGAGAAAACATAGAAAGCGATTTGGTGAATACAATATAACTTGACTCGATACAAATGTTTATGAATCATGAATCACAATTTATGTTGGGGTCGATATCACTATCCAGCTGCTTGGGTTGAAGTGGATGGAATAAGATTACAACCTAGAACTCACTACTTGAAAATCAGACTTTTAAATGAAGGATATCGTGTTATTTCTGAAGAATCAGATATGATGACATGGAAACAAAATTGGCTTCAGCTTTGCATTTGCTGCTTAAGATTTATGTAACAGTTTATCACTCGTTAATTTAGTCATCTTTTTGCGTAAAACACTACTTTACGCTTATAAAACTTACTCTCAATTTTAAAAGATACTAAATAATAATACTTAGGAAGCAATAGCAACTGATTTTTTCAAGTTAACTTACTTTAGCAGAGCGTATCGCTTCCTTATTATCCTCCTAAATTTATAACAAATGAGACACAGTAATAAACATTATTGTGTATTTATTAAAAAGATACCAGTAATCAGTTTACAAGATGGCTTAAAAACTGTACTTGAAATTTTTCGTAAATCAGAAGTCTAAACTATGCGCAAAAAAGTGTAATTGGTCTCCGGAAAATAAGAACTTGAATAAAATACTGAAGCAATTTTAATTTCAACCATCTTATATCCCAACTTACAGCACATCTCTCTTTTATGTCAGTGAACAACACGCACACAAACTTCCGAATAGACACCTTTAATTCTTTAGAAATGAAAAACTGTAGGAATCCTAATCATTGAGACTCGGTCATGACATTCGTTTTCGATTACCAAAGTCTAAAACCTAGTCCAGCTCTAGTGTATTTATAAAATACCACGTCTGATAGGTAGGATTTTTTATATGTCCACCTTAGTATGTGTTTATACATTCAACTGATCCTGTGCAGCTAGCTTATTAAGATGCACATCACATATAGCTAACAAACGGGCAGGTAAAATGATTACAAGTTCTATCTAATCCCATCTATTTGATACTGGTTACAATGTGCACATTAAGTTTGCTCTTTCAGTAGTCAGTAGGATACCTAGTCGAGTGCTACAAGCCGTAATAATTTGCCTTCTTCAAACTGTTAAAGCTGTTTCAACGAAAGCCACAAAACCCAAGTTTTGTGTGCAGAAACACTTTTAACATCCTCTTGTTCTCCCATCGTCATCTGCAAAGATGGAATTCACATAATCCGAGTAAATGATTCAACTAACTTATACATAATCTGTATCCACCTAATTTAACGTTTTTCACTTTTGACTTACATTTTTATGTTCTTATTTTTCATCTGACATAACATCCCATAGTTACTGCTTGCTACGTTTTAATTCTAATACTTGTTAATCCTTTGACTACTAATTATCTGAAATCCTGTTCAACAGACTGTTACACAATTCAATCCTAAAATGAGCTAAATATACAGATAACTGCCAATATCCAAATTCCCGTTAACACTAAACGAGTGTATGTTTTTTGGTGGGAAATACTGCATTTAAAGCTACAACCTGACAGAAATCTAACGAAAATATGTGTTCGTCAACATTTTCTTGTCAAATACGAGTTCATTGACCAAAAATGAAATCTTTATAAAGCTCACGTAAAAAACTACTCCAGTAGAACTCTGAAGCAACTCAGCAAGCACACGTACGCACACACTTTCCTCCGTTTGACTCACAGTATTCAGTGCGTCCACTGCTGAGACACGAAAACAGCGAATTACCATCAAAGTATTAATCAAGTTACAAAGACCTAGAATGAAATTAAGTTTAGGGTGAGAATTGGACTATATGCAACTAAAATTCGAAACCCGAATGAAGATTTTTATTAACAAATCAAAGCCTTTTGACTAATCAAAATCAATTTTATTTGAACAATGAGGACTAATAAAAGAAATTTATTTAGGTACATTATTAGGGTTTCAGATGAGAATGAACCAATTAACTGCCCGATGCCTAGACGGTCTAAATTGACTATCATCTTGTCAACTATTCACTGTACACAATCACCATCTCACAACATCAATCAACAGTAAGCAGTTATAAAATTACATCTTATCCTTCACAAAACTCCAACTTCATATAACGTCTCCTCATACCTAGACAATGTTTCTCCACCGATGTCGGTCCACCACGGAAACCGACTTCAAATCAATCAATACCCACAAACCATCAACTCAAAATTCAACATCCTCATGATTTCAATTGTATTTTAAACTAGGTTTGTACTCCGAAGTCATCAGAATACACTAGGGAATGAGTCAACTCACTAGTATCAAATATCTTGCTACAATAAAGGGAGTTAGGTATATGTGATAAACTAATGAGAACAACACCGTTTTAATTGGTCTGAGATGATCTAATAGGATTTTGGTTCACAACAAATCACGAAATACGCTCACATGAGAGTGGTGAGGCAAATACATCTGTCTAGGGAAACGTATGAATTTTGTAAATATTTTTGAGTGTCAAATATGACCTATTGTCTGCTACTACTTGTCTCATGATAACTTCCTTAGTCAAAATCACCGGTGTCCGAATAAAATCCTTGATATGTAGTCTAGAGATTCAGGTCTAGTAGTTGGCACACATTTTCTTCATGTAGTAATTCTTGTTTTTTTTGACATAGTCCATTTCGTTCATAATGACAGCTTCTCTTCCCTTATGCGAAGGATTTTTGTCGATCATCAGCTTCAGTGCAGTTCTTTCCTTTGTATTAGACATATAACCTACATATTTTTGAATGCAGTCTTACTACGTCACCTACAATCGTAATTCTGGACATAAGGACGGGACATGAACAAACAGTTAAAGTTTTCATTCAGAAACTTTTAACGTAGTTCTTCAAAAACTCATTGGTTACTGGTGACTTCGAAGATGGAAACAACCAGTCACTTTGGATTTTGGCAGAAGGCCAGTGAAACACGGAAATTTAAGACAGTTGAGTTAAGAAATTTTTTTCAAAACTGATGTCAACCAAGTGTTTTCGAATGTTAGTCTGACACTTTTACTCAACGTTGTTGGTAGATACTAAGTAAGCAACCACTGCTTATAAGTTCTACGTATCCTGTGATCAACCAAAGCTTGCAGATGGAACAGCACTACTGAATGAAAGCGTTAACATGCAGCTTTCCAAAAAGAAACAATTCAGGAGTACGCGATTCGTATTTTACACCCAGTTTGACGACAAACAGTAATTTTCTTTGAGTTCAGTGTCTACTTTCTCTAACTAGAACATTGTACGGATTTCATTTGGATAACGGTTTATAAAGCCTTCATATTAGTATGTAAGGTAGGAATTACACTAATGAACCTATTTAAAGTACTGCTTTTCGTGAAACTGGTGTACTTTAATACGACACTGGAATTGATAGAACATGTTTCTAATTACCTTAAGCTACCTCACGTTATGGTAGGATTGATAAACAGTTATTTATTTGGCAAGTCTCAACAGTTAAGCACCAAGTAAAAATATTTTCCTCATTGTTTACATCAATACAAAATCGGCTTCAATATGTAGAAAACGGAATGAAATTTTCGGGGCTTACGAAGTGCTTTTTTTCATTTTGGTCCAGTAAACGTTCCGACTCCTGACCTTGGATAAATCTTAAATAATCAGCGAAGAAACTGAAGGGGCCAATCATAACGTTATGGAACGAAAATAAGTATCCACCCAATTGCAGAAGCCGAGGTCGCTTTCTTTATAAAACGTAAGGACGATATTCATCAAAAGAGAACAAAAGTAAGGTTTTATATACCGTTTCCAAAATACTTTTCTCAGGTTATAAAATCAACCAATACTTTCAAATAATGTGATAAAAGAAATCATGAGGAGCTAGACTATTATGAATGAAGCTGAGGCTGAATCGTGTAAACTGTAGGTCAACGACTTTTACCAAAACATCTACTACTAAGTAGTGAATCATGTTTCACATCGATAACGCAAATACTCATCTGACAATTATATGCGAATGAGTAACTCAATAACGATAAATAAGGTACATGTAAAATTAACTCAACTGACAAACGCCTTGTATATAATTTTTGATCCATGACGCCGCTAATAAGAGCTGGATGCCGAAACCAGCACGCCGGAGCTTTATTGAAGCACAACTAAATCTCCACCACTACATTCAATAAAAGTGAAAAAAACTACTGACATTGGAGTTGACATTACTATAAAATGGTTGACGTTGCTCTTCTTACATTCAGTTAGAAAGTAACAAGATGTAAAGCCGAAGTTTAAAATAATGATTGGAAGTCATAAAACGCCAAAACAAGTCTAGGGAGGATTATATGCATGCCATATTTAAAATACCCATCTTGGAGAAACAATAGGTATTTCGAGAAATTATATAAGCGTAGCAGTCCAACCCTTAGTGGTTATCGACATCCGTTCACGTGAAGTAATAATCTAAATAATACAGCTACACTAAGCCAGTTGTCAGCAACTTTGGCCATATTAGGACGTCATTTAACCATAAAAAGGAAGAATCTTAACGAAAATAAACCTTAGGGACTTCTCTAGTGAAAACTACAATGTGACTTTATCGACACTTTAAAGCGCTCACTTGCGATCACGACAAAATTTACTGAATTATAAACTCACTCGACAGCATTAAGTTTGTGGTAGTCGCGGTCAACAATCCCCTTTTTTGCCAACTGTACACCATCATTGATATTAAAGGCTAAGGAAGACAACTTTTGTGTTTGCACCATTAACGGCCTGAAAAAACATTACTAAGTATAGCAACCTACGCAGTAATATCAATTGAAGGATTTTGGACAAATTTATGGATATGCACACCAGATAGGTACATCATAGAAAAAACAAGAATGCCATACTGAGCGACCGACAATGGGAGTAGAACCATCATTATATATGCTGGAATGGCTTGGGCAAACATGTGAATAACAAGCCTGGAAAAGAGTCTAAAAAGTAACTGAAGCAAACTACGATCCATAACCAAGATAAAGAATTATAAATCCGCTGACAAACTCAAACAGATGACGACGTTTGGAATTTTCTGTACACGGCGGTATGCATCTTCGCATTACATAGCCTGACAACATCGACAGGAACTGGCATGTTAAGAATCGCCACTAAACGGTTTGAAAGTGAAGCAATGTAAAATTACATGTTCCCGATCAAGAACAGATAGATATCGAATACCCTGTTCCATGGACGCCAGAAGTATAAACCGCGGGCTCAGCAACCACACCTCCTTACGAAAATTAATGCAGCTAAACGTATTCGACACTCAATGTATATGAAGCAAACTTATGGACCTGTAAAAATAATTGGTAACCGTGACGCTATTTGAGTTTTTAACTCTCTTTTTTTAAGTAAAAAAGTTTGATAACTTACGTTTGCTACTTAACTTCGAACTTAGCTTCCAGTCCCTATTAAGAATGATAGGTCACCATTTTTGTGTTAATCGTTGTGGTATGTTGGCCTGAGGCTGCTTATCTCCTCCTTGGATTCGTTCTCGGAACAAGATGATAACACTTACACACATGGGGAGTTCTATTCGTTAACCGCTGAGTGTGGAAAATGGGCAAAAGCCAAGATGGCTCGATCATCGGTTTGAGTTTTCATGCGGTAGTCCAAGGAATAATCCGCCCTTCAAAGAGAAGATAAAAGTTTCACTGATTCTGAAGCAATATTTGAGGCGGCGTTGAACAAAAGAAGGACATATGACTTGAAACTTGTCTTCATCAGAGTATGTCCAGGTTTTATGAAGGGACTGAGGTGACTCGAGCACTTTCGCTTTGACTTCGTTACAGTGTTCAAATGTCTTCAGGTCATGACAGGTAATCACTCGCAAGACTTCAAATTCTTTGTGGTCATTTATTGTTGTCCTAACCATTATATAGCAAGTACTGTGACCAATATGCATAGATGCATAACGCTTAGACAAATCGACTTGCACATTCAAGTCCACCTTTGGACCAGACAGGTCCCCTCATAGAATGCTGTTATATTTTCACCTCACAGATAAACAAGAACGCCAGAAATGAAACAGATACGGAATACCTTGAGACGAATAGACAAAAGGAAGGGAGCAAATATAATTGCCCGTGGAATCCGATTCAAAAAGCTGAATATCAGAACATCGAGGTATGCATATTCACAACGAGCTGTTTTGTGAGCTGGAATTTCAGCTGGCAGGTACTTCGGTGTCATGCTGGATATCGTCATCAGTGCACCAAAAATTCACAAAGGGGTGAGGCAGTTGGCCGTGAATGCATGTTTGTGACATGTCAGTTTGCCTAGGTTCGACTTACTTTTTCGCCCGGTGAGCGCGTGGGTGAGTCATGACAACTGACTGGTTGAACTCCTGACTTTAAATTTCTTGGACAGGTGTGGAGTCACCTGATTTGTTGATTTGCTTTGACTTCTGGCTGTATACTGGGGCTGCTTCGTTGTGATTCATTCACTCTTTTTGTCTGAATGAACTGATGAGGTACGCCTTGCTGTGACTGGCTTCCACTTTTACTTACCCGCAATAGTGGACATTGTCTTGGGCTGAGTGGTCAACTCGTATATACCAGTGAGGTGTGCTCATCACTGATCTCCCTATCCGCTCTGACTTGGTGGGTATTAAGTGTTGCTGCTGGTTGACTGTATTTTGCTGGGCCAATGGATTCTTTTTGTGTTGAACACTAAAGTGAAAGAGTTTGGTTAGTAATCCATGGGTTGTCTTGATCTAATTGATTGGTGACCTCCTTTTAATCTGAGTCAATGGTCTCGCAGAATCTGACTGCCTGCTTGAACTTTGGGCCACCCCTTTTTATTTCATCAAAGTTCTCATTTCTATATTGTTTTAATCGTCCAACTATGTCAACCAGTCGTATTGCATATTCTCGTGTGTTTTTAAAATTATTGCCTATCGCTTCTCATGTTGATCGGAAATTTAAGAAGAAGCACCATAGTGGATGGCAATCGGCTCTAAAGCGTGTGACCATAGATCAAATGACAACTCCGGAAATACTTAGCACAAACTGCAGGTCGTTGCCGAATAAAGTTGATTGCCTTCAGTCACTCCTGTCCACAAATGTTTATCGAAACACGGGTGTAATAATGCTACAGGAAACATGGCTTCATATCCTGCTGATAATGATTTAGTCTGACTGGATTGCTTCAAACTATTCTGACAAGATGGGAGGTTTTCGAAGAAGAAATGTGGTGGTGATATAGCAACATTTGTCAGTGCAAAGTGGTCCTCCTCCAACTATGTATGCTTCTGCCTCCGATGAAAAAATTGAGTGCATTACAGTCAAATGTCGTGCCAAACATTCGAGCAAATGCAAACACACATGACGCACGTGATAGCAGTTTCTAAGGTTCATCAAATTTCGCTGAAAATTCACTGAATTTACTGCTCCGGTTCTGGGAAACTCCTACTCTATGTGAACGCAGTTTTCCGTTGTCATTGGATCATAAAAATACGGTTAACTTTCCCACTCGTCTTGACAACACCCTGTAATTTGCATTTACAGGTGAACCCGGCATAAACGAATCTCTAAATAGGCAACGCTGCTGAATTCCGACAACTGTATTGTTCGTGCTTTCATAAAGTTTACGACAAATGACAAATGAAAGCTGTCCAATACCTTCACAAGAAAGTCCAAAACAGATGTTGTTCGCAAGCAAATATATTTCATTTAAATAGCATGCTCATAGAAGCTGAGCGCAATATATTCGGTGACAAAAAGATTTGGAAAAGACTGAAAACAAAATAAAAAATTGTTTCAGAATATGCTACGATATTCGGTAAACTGCTGAAAAAATGCAAGTGAAAGTTATCAGAGTTTCCCCATCTCATATGAAGAGCTTCCAGAGATGGATAAACGATTCCTTCTAAAAAGAGTTTATTCTTGCTTATTCTTTCTCGCCATCTTATCTTCAGCATCGAGCGCTAATGCTGCAGTATCTTCATAATTAAGCAAGGATCACCTTACTTCAGACAACATAATAAGAACGAAGGTTTGAAAATGAAATGTCACTTAAAATCTAAAGCATTATGCAGTTGATTTTCTGACGTAACAAGTCACCACTGGAACATTTCTGTATGAGAAATGCCTAATATCCTCGAAGTAAGTGAAACAAATCAACTTAACATGAATTTAAGCTGCAATGACAAACTTTGGTGGTGAGAATACAAAACAACTGCTTTTCCACACTTACAGGTTAGCAATTGGTAACGAGCACAGATCTGTAGCGCTACCTTTAAAAATTACACTTCATTTAGTCCAACATCCAGTATCTTTTTACTAGCTAGTGTAAACTTATTGACTTCTTTGCGCTCACTTCTGGGCCTTCCAGAACCGTTACAGGTATTTGGTGTATTCCGATGCGGTAGGCCTACTTACTCACCTGACGTAGACATCGTTAGTCCGAAGGGCGGTCGGGAGTTGACTAAATTGTAGGGGTTGCATAATCTGTCGAGGGACTGTAGTTCAGGTGTGTTTCCTATGCGTCGTGTCACCAAACAGTCATTCAGACTGGTTGTAAGAAGAAAGTAGAAAAGATGTCCAAGGGAATCAGGGGAATGGACGTCCGAAGAAAGACACAAGGTGAAAGAGAGTGGAACGGAAGGGAAGGAGAAGCCTAGGTAGACTCGCGGGAGATAAATAACAGAAGAAATCGTAATGGACAGGACGAGATGCAAAAAGGTGGGAGGGAAGAGAAGGAGCAAGTAGGGTTAAAATGTCTAAATACTAGCTACCAATAGAAGTTCCGACGGTATAAGAAATATTCCAATACACGAAAAACATTTATCGAGCCTACTGGTAGAAAAAAGGTGATGAAGGAAGTTCGTTCGGACGTCGGCAAGCTAATTTCACCCTTCCTTACGTCCACAGTCAAGTGGATAGCTGCTTTCCAGGTTTTAATACGGATGATGTATTTAGATGTCTTAAGTCCTTGAATCCCTCCCAAGGCTTAGGCTCTGATGGTGTTTCTAATGTTACATTTGGAAAATGTGCAGATATTTTATGTTATCCACTTACAGATATCTTCAATATATCTTTTTCAAAAAACATAATACCTACTGCCTGGAAGCAGACGAAAGTTGTACCTGTGCCTAACTAAGCCATCTGCTGGATCAGATGTTATGTCTGTTAGTACATCTCTGACGAAGTTAAATAGGAACAGTGGCAGTGGACATCCCTGGAGAACACCACTAGTTGTCTTTAGTTCATGTGGGAACTCTCCATAAGCCGTTAGATGGCTGTGTGAGTTCGCATGCAGAGCTTTTATAAGCGTTATATACTTGCTCGGTACTCACTTGATAGTCAGACACTATCACAACAACTCACGGTCGACCGAGTCAAATGCCACCTTTAGGTCAAGAAATATGTCAGATCCTAGGTCAGTACACGGGAAACGATAATAATTGACATAGCTTTCTGAATGTAATTAGATCGGCATTCACTAAAAATTCATTTGGTTTGAAACAACGTGAAAGTAGTTAACCAGAGCTTGCGCTAGTAAAACTATTCAGAGTGATGAATATTTAGTGAGCAGACATAAATATAATTAGCGAATGCACGTAAAACAAGGTATGGTAAATTTTCACACAACAAGATGTGAAAAACTACAAGTCCTTGGTTTGAATAAATGGTAGCAATGCCAGTATTTTGGTGCAAAGGACTATACACCTGGTGCGAATTTTGTATTTCATATAAAAGATTATGTTTGCTGAATAACACACTTGTTTTCGTTTAGCCAGTGTTTTTATGAAAGCTGATGTGATTCGTTCATTAAATCTAAGCCTGTTTAATTGCAAACATGCAATACCACATATGTTTATCACCAAGGCATAGATGTAAAGTATGATTAGACTTGAGATTACCCTAACTAATAACCTTGAATCGGTAGCTTTGCGTGGTTAGTACCATACAGAATTATATCCAAATGATAAAGTACAGATGAAACGTGCGCTCTTGGTTCCTCTGATAGTCACAACCAAGTAAATTATAATAATACAGTATACGCTTTAGAAAAGAGAATGAACTTTTCCACGCTTTTACCAAATTTAGCTTTTTCCTTGTTGGTTTTGTTTATTCGAAATAGCACATAGTGATGTAGTATTAGTTGCTTGGTACATTAGTTAGGCCTGATTGGTCTCACTAAGATAGAGTGTAAAGGAGAGGGGCTGATGGAATTAGAAAGTGGATGTCAAGAATGGTGAGGAAATCCAGTTTGTGAGTTTTCGAGCAGTCACGTCTTAGAAC